TCCCTTTCAGACCTGGTCCCTCCCAACTGCCCTCCCCTGTTGGCCATCTTGTGGCAGCCATCTTGTGTCCACATGGGGGCATCCATCTGTGTGTTGGAGTGACAGCCAATTTGCATATTATTCTTTTATTAGGTAGGATAGAGGCCTGGTGCACGGGTGGGGGCCGGCTGGTTTGCCCTGAAAGGTTTCCCGGATCAGGGTGGGGCTTCCCTTGGGGTGTAGGGTGGCCTGGGCAAGGGACCTGTGTTGTTTTGCAGGCAAGCCACGCCCCCCAGCGAACCAAACATAGGCTGGAAGCAGGAATCTGGAATTTATCTTCTATAATTAATACTTTGTAGCCTTGAGTGGAGACTAGGGCAAGACAGGGCAGGTGGGAACTTGGCTTCCTCCATTGCTGGGGCAACCCAAGCTCTGTGGCCAAGCCATCTTGGTTGGGTTGATTTGCATACTCACTCCTGATTGGCTGGTGGCATAGCAGAGGTATGGTCAATTTGCATGTTTCTATTTTATTAGATAGGACTAGTGGCCAGTGAATCCAAGCCTCCTGCTTGCTCCAGCTTCATGGCCAGCCACCATCTTGGTTGGGTTGATTTGCATAATCACTCTTGATTGGCTGGAGGGCGTGGCTTTGTATAGCAGAGTGATGGTTAATTTGCATGCTTCTCTTTTATTAGTGTAGACTAGTGGCCCGGTGAATGAAATTTGTGCATGGTGGGGGGGAGGGGAGGGTTGTCCCTCAGCCCAGCCTGCATCCTCTCCAATCTGAGACTCCTTGGGAGATGTCCAACTGCTGGTTTAGGCCCGATCCAAGTGGGATTGCGCCTAACATAGCAATTGGACATCCCTCTCATTATCTGGGACCACTGGCTCCTAACCACTGACCTGCCTGCCTGCCTGATCACCCCCAACCACTCTGCCTGCTGACCTGATTACCCCAATTGCCCCCCCCCTCTGGCCTGATCACCCCTAACTGCCACTACCTCTTCTCTGGCCTGATCGCCCCCAACTGCCCCCTGCCCCCCTCCCGGCCAGCCTGCTTGCCCCAAACTGCTCTCCCCCTTCCCCCCCCCCCCCCCCGATCTGCTTGCCCCCAACTGCCCTCCCCTCTTGGCCTCATTGCCACTAACTGCCTCTGCCTCGGCCCTGACACCATGGCTTTATCCAGAAGGGCGTCCAGAAGGTCTCCTGGTCTAATTAGCATATTACCCTTTTATTAGTATAGATTCTTTGTGTATACATGAAGAAGTCTAGATGAAAAAATATAATTCAGTTGATATCCTAGGATGTCTTTGGGTTGGATCTCATTGTAGATTCCTATTGTCTTTTACATTTTTCAGTGACAGATTTTTCTGTAATGAGTATAGTATTAATCACTAAAGCATAATCAAATTTCTTAAATAATAAGATCATGAAGTGCAGGCCAATAGCATTAACACACTGGAAACATCAAAGTAGGCTTGATCCTACTCCCCCTCTGACTTTTTAACTATGTCTTGTTATAAGTGTATCTTCAGAAGCAATGAGAGAGGAACAGTGGTGAATCCATAAATACAGCCTGTTTCTGATGGGAACAAAAATAGAAGAGGCTGACATTATTTGGAGTGTTTCTACATTTTTTTTTTTCTTCTTATTCCATTTTAGTTGTGCCATGCAGGCTTCTTCTGGGGATGTTTGAAGAAAAACTGGGTGGGACCCAAAGGGCGACCTGCCAGAAGTTTGAAGCATCTGGATTGGCCCACTCTTTGTTTCCTGATGCAGGATAGATCCATTTCCCAGGGTATCAGATTAAGGCGTCTCCTTTCTGGAGAAAAGATTTCATGGTTTAAATTCCCGTTCACTTTTGTGTCTGTGGCACTCTGCTGTCTCCTTTCCAGCATGCAGCCTCAGGGGTCATGCTGTCCCTTCCCTGCTGATATCAGCGTGCCAACTGTGGTGTCATGCACACCAAGCACAGAGCTGCCATTCAGCTTCCAGTCTGGGTTCAGGAAGCAAAAGAGCTTCTAAGTTCCTACAAACCTTGACAGATCTTCCTCTAGCCTTGCATGTGAACAGCTTTCAGGGGGAAGCGGGGGAGGGGAAGGGAGCTGTGGGGAACAGGGTAAATGTCAAGGGTGACTATGTGACAGGAACAGAGAGAGCAAACAGTTGTCACCAATGTTCAGAAGAAAGAAAGGTGGGCGACAATTTAGAGAAATACTCCTTAGACTTTTCAATGGGATACTTATTTGGTTAGCACTGGTTACCCTCTTCCATGTCCTTGCATTACTGTAATTGGTAAATTAGGCGGTAGTCACATCATTTGTCGTATTTAAAACAAGTGTTTTTCATGAACGTCTAACAGAATGCCAGTAATTGGGATGTCATAGTGAAAACAAATCCCATATAAAACTCATGATGGATTCCATGTTTTTAAAAATTTTTTTAATGATTCAAAATACAAAATCATGTTCTGGTTTAGGCTATTGTTAAAAGAGAGAGAAGTTACTTCTATATTGATTTTCAAATAAGGGACATATTGTTGGAAAATTTTATTCCATAATATATTGCTTTCCACCACTTTACATGTGAATAAATGGGGCAGAATATTGTTTGAGTTGAAAGTATACTTACTAAGTGTAATAGCTAGAAATGTAGATACTGGTTAATTATGTAGTTATTTATAACTGTTTATAATACAACTTCTTGCCTCTCGCCTTCAGGTGCTATAACGTTAATTTAGTATGTCAATCTGTTTGAGACTATAAAAGGAAGTTAAGTTATTTGGAATTCTCACCTATTACTTGAATGCCAAGTACAGTGCTATAGTTATGTTATAATTAATCAATTAACTTACAAAAAATGTACTGAATACCTAGTTTGTGCCAGACATTGTTCTGGGGTACATCAATGACTCCTTTCTAGAAGTTTCTATCCAAAACTGGGAAGACCGTAAATCATTAAACAACTACAAAGCTAATGTGTCAGGCAGTAATAACAGCAAGAACAAAAATAAGGTAGGGCCATTATAAGAACTATACATTTTATTGAGAAATATCTGTGTGGCAATGGATTTAAGCAAGGAAATATTGTGATCCAACTTCAGTTTACAGAGAATTGCTCTAGCTGCTGGATGGAGAATTGGCTGTAGAAGGCCAATGTCCATTGAATTATCATACCCCTCTCCCCCAAGGTTATATTTCACTGAGGATACTCTGTATCAATAGATCTGGAGATGTGATCCTACATAGTTGGTTCTTACCTTTTCATACTTAGTCTAAAACTGGTTTCTATTTATGTTGTTGTTGTTTTTGTTAATCCTCACCTGAGGATATTTTTCCACTGATTTTTAGAGGGAGTGGAAGGGAGACAAAGAGAAACATCGATGTGAGAGAGGCACATTGATTGGTGGCCTCTGGCATATGTAAGGGATTGAGCTTGCAATTGAGGTATATGCCCTTGATCGGAATAAAACCGGGACCCTTCAGTCTGTGAGTGGACACTCTATCCACCGAGCCAAACCAGCTAGGGCTAAAACTGGTTTTTAAAATGAAATTTTTATGTCCAAATCTTTTCCTAGATAAGTTTTTTTCTGGAAAGTTACTTTTAGATACTTTCTTTCAAATTGGGAGTTTATCTAAACCCTACTTTTTAATAATAGCGGCATGCCTTCCGCCCTCTGGTTTTCTCCTCAGAACTAAAGTTTTAAATTGCCTTTAGATTCCATTTATAACCTACATAATAAAAACAGTCTCATTATTTAATTAGACTTGCATTTAATCAAAAGTGCCATTAAATAATTTGATCAGTAACGTTATTCACCACATCTGGGTTTATGTGACTTTTGATTAATTTCAGAAATCAAACTACCCTCAAACAATTGTATGTGTCACAAGTTTGGAAGGCAGATACACTAAAAGAGAACAAAGAATATTGGTAGCAATAGGGACCCCAATTAATAACGAACTAGTCTTTGAAAGGGTTATATCTCATTTAGAAATGTCATTTTGGATCGTGATTTTGCAATGCTTTCTAACTGGTCTTCCTGCTTCTGTTCTTCAATCTTTATAATACACTAGAGGCCTGGTATATGAAAATTTGTGCACTGGTGGGGGGTGTCCCTCAGCCCAGCTTGCATCCTCTCACAGTCCAGGAGCCCTCAGGGGATGTCTGACTGATGGCTTTGGCCCGCTCCCCCTAAGCCAAAGTTTGGCCTCCCTCTGTGGGAGGTAGAGCCAGCAGGCTGATCAGGGGATGGTGCCAGCCAGAGAGTGAGCAGCCGGCCCCACCCCACCCCATTGCCCCTCCGCAGCTGCTGCTGGTTGCCATCACCGGCATCCGATTGCCGGCCCCTCCCTCTGTCTGCTGGCATGTGCCTTGGCTGGCCTGGCACTGCCTGCTCGCTGGCCCTGCACCCTGCACCATTCCACCATTCAGTCAATTTGCATATTATGCTTTTATTATATAGAATTCTCCTCACACAGGCAAGAGTTATCTTTTTTAAAAGATGTAAACCAAATCATAATCACTTTTCTGCCTATAGGTTTGTAGTGGCTTCCACTACAATAACTCTGCCATGGCCTTCAAGGGGCTGCATTCAGGGTATGCCACACATCACCTCTGTCCTCTCCTGACACCATCCTCTTGTCCTCTGGGCTCTAGTCACACTGGCCTTGTTGTTCCTCCTTGAATAAGCCACGTCTGATTCCATGTCAAGGCCTTTAAACATGCTGTTCCTTCTGCCTGGAATGCTCTTCCCCTGAGATCTTTGCATGGTTTCCTTCACCTCAAGAGTCAGTTCTCTGCTGGCTACTCCGTTTATACTTCTGCATCCAAACAGGCAGCACAGCTCTTTCTTGGAATAAGAAAGAGCTCTTCCCCAGGTGTGATAAAAAAAAAAAAACTTCTTGTGATTGTATCACTTACAGATAACACAAGGTATAAATCAAATGAGAATGCTATGAGCAAACAACCCGGGGTCTGCACAGTCTTATATACTCATGGTATTTTCTTTTTCTTTACAGGTTATTTTCAGAGCTTTGACACCACCATTTGACATGGAGAACCCTTATAGTGCCAAAGCGCAGGAGCAGCTGAAGATCACCAACCTTCGTGTGCAGCTGCTAAAACAACAGTTTTGTCCCTGTCAGAGAAATGACCTGAATGCAAAGCCTCAACATTTTACACATTATGCGATCTATGATTTCATCGTCAAGGGCAGCTGCTTCTGTAATGGCCATGCTGATCAATGTGTACCTGTTGATGGCTTCAGACCTGTCAAGGCCCCAGGAGTATTCCACGTGGTATGTAACACAAGTTCTCACCAGTGAAAAACAAATCATAAGTTACCTTCAGCTTTGGGCACAGGTAGTCTAAGTTCCCTGAGAGCTGGTGTGTGTTTGCATAGTGCTTCTTGTTTCTTCCTCTGCTGATTCACTTCTCCAACTCCATATCTGTCCTGTAAAGTGCCTATTAACTTGTTTTTTAATCTTCAATTTTAGAATTATAAATAGTCAAGCATGATAACAAGATTCCTTGGAAAGCATCCATGCCAGTTTTTAGTACATGACCTTCAGATATAAAGTGTAAGGTGAGCAGTAGGAGAGGTTGGCATAATCATATTGGTGGCATTATCACACAGAAGCCAGCTTTGACAATAAATGGGGACCATTGTTGAATAGATTTTTATAGTGGAAAAAATAAGAACCTCTGTTTAAAGCCTGGTATCTTTTGCTGTTCAGCCAATAGAATGAATAATAGTTTTCCTCTGTGAAGAGTGGCCTGACCCCCTCTCTCCCTAGGCAGAGTTAAACTCTCTTTCCTCTAGGTTCATACATCTCCTGTGCTTTCTTCTGAACTTTTACCACTCCTCATCTCCTAGGAGATCTTGAACTCCCTGAGGACAGAGACTGTGATCTTTGTGTCCTCAGGACCGAGTGCATTGCTTGAGCCAGAAGTAGGCCTTCAGAAGGTGTTTGTATGATAGCAATATAGGAATAGAGAGATAATGAAAAATTATTTGTTATTTGTTCTCACCTCACCTTCTCCAACTTACTAGTTTCTAGACACTAATAGATCTTTGAACTAATATAGCTTCAATACAGGATTAGGTAATTCATTATATCTAAGTTAATTGAGTTGTATATGATTCAAATAGAAAAAAAACCCAGATATTCTAGAGACATGTCAACCTACTCTCCATAGTTTGTATGAGATAGAGTGCTAGAAATTTCTGCCGTTATATTTAAGTTAATTAGTGAAAGGAGAGGCTATAGGCTACAGTGAGTGAATATTTGTATCCTTCCAAAATTCATATGTTGAAACCCTAATCCAACGGGATGGTATGTGGAGCTAAGATCTTTCGGAGGTAATTAGTTCATGAGATTAGAGTCCTCATAAATGGGGTAGGTGTCCTTTAGGAAGAGGCCAGATGGCTAGCTAGCTCTACCTTTGCCATGTGAGGACATAGTGAGAAGTTGGCAGTTTGCTACCAGGAAGAGATCCTCAACAGGACCTGACCATGCTGGCACCCTGACCTTAGGCATTCAGCCTACAGAACTGTGAGAAATAAATTTCTATTGTGTATAAGCTACTCAGTTTATGGTATAGCAGCCTGAATTGACTAAGATGCTGCCCTTTGTTTCCTCAGCAGTCTCCTATAATCCAAGCCTTAAATGATCACTTCAGGGTAGAGTCCTGAGCAAAGGGATAGATACAAACAGTTCCCATGACATGGCCCAGAGTAGGCCATATCTCTGAAGAGAATGACCCATGAGACAACCTGAATGGCTCTGATCAACCAAACTAAATTTGTTTTCAAGAGCCTTACAAAACTCCCACGCATATGCATTTAAAAGCAATAGCTTCTTTCTTTCTTTCTTTCTTTCTTTCTTTCTTTCTTTCTTTCTTTCTTTCTTTTTTTTTTTTTTTTGTAAATCCTCTGAATGTAAACTTTCAAGAGATAACATTTTCCAAGGCTAAAGAAAAAATTCTAGACATTTTATTATATTCTGTGGACCTGTGCAAATACACTGTCCAGGATGAGAACCACTTGCAGTGGGTATCTTGTGTCTGCTTCTCATCCAAGAAAAGCAATCCCATTATTGCCTTCTGTGGCTGGGAAAAGCTGGGCAAGGATGGAATCTGCCAAAACTGCAAGCTGAAGACAAACCACATCAGTCACCAGGGCTCGCTAAACACTGTGACTGTCTCTCCAGATGGATCCCTTTATGCTTCAGGAAGCAGGGTGGCCAGGCCATGCTGTGGGATCTCAACAAAGGCAAGCACCTCCATATGCTAGACACTGGGGACATCATCATCACCCTGTGCTTCAGCCCCAACCACTATTGTCTCTGTGCTATCATGGGCCCCAGCCTTAAGATCTGGGCATTGTAGTTGAACTGAAGCAAGAAGATATCAGTCCCAGCAGAGCCACCCCAGTGCACCTCTTTGGCCTGACCTGAACAAATTAATAGAAGTGTAGCAGGTGACCACCAGCAAACAATATATTCCAGAGCTTTAGAAATAAAAAACTGACTTTCTGACTTAAAAAGAAAATAAATTCTATTAATTCTGTTAAATTTAACAGGGGATAATTATGCAGAGTTATCAGAGACTTTTGCAAAAATTTTAAAATACAACTATTATATACAATCTTCTGCCAGAAAGAAAACTGTCACCATGAGCCCACACCCCTGTGTCTGTGCCTGCTGGCTCTCTGTTCCATCCTGTCATTACCCCCTGCTCTCTTACAGCCCACCATAATTCTGATACATTCCAGCTGCATCCTGTCTCGGGTCACTGCCACCTCCCACCGAGACCTTGTTGTCTTGCCTCTGCCACAGCCAATTCTTGGTAGGCTCATGTGGAGATGAGGGCCACAGATCCCATCCTAGGGGTCACAGAAGCCTATAAGAGAGACACCAACATCAAGAAGATGAGTCTGGAAGGCGATGCCTACCAGGATGATAATGGAAAGCTGTATATGTACCCTAATGTCCAGATTGCTGCAAAAAACCTGGACAAAGAATACCTGTATGTTGCTGAAAAGGTTGGAGTTTGCAAGGCATCTGCAGAACTAGCCTTGGAAAAGAATAGCACAATCTTGAAAAATGGCCAATATGTCACTATGCAGATTGTTTTCAGAAATGTGTCTTAAGGATTGGAGCCAGATATCTGCAAAGGGTTTTTAAGTTCAGCTGAGACATATTTCTGCCCAAACCATCCTGGGGGAAATTACTCATGCACTTTCAGGGACATTGTATTGGCTATCAATACTATGATTCCAAGACTTGTGGCTTTGATTTCACAGGCTCTCAAAAGGGCATTTCAAAAAATGTCACAGCAAAGCATTCTCCTGCATACCTGTGCCTACAATCATATGAGAGTGGGCACTCCATCTTGAGAAATGGAAGGAAAAGCAACAGTAGTGAGGAAAAAGAATCTCTATGTTTTTTGACATGACCTGCCAAGGATTTGCCACGTGTAATGGTAACAAGGATGCCATCAAAGAGAACATTAATGTTTCTCTCTGCCAATCCTATGCCAAGGACATGGGCTTATAGTGAGTATGTGGCAGCCTTCGTAGAAGTCTGCAAAGATGCTGATCAAGCCCAAAGAGTTAAATTACAGTTGGAGATACTGATCCACCCAATGTGTTCCAACCCTCCTCTCAGTAGGACCCAGATTGCCTCAACCATTCTGACTACCTTGGATTTTCAAAAACAGTGGTTGCAAGTTTAAGTCATGACCAACCTTATCATTGGCCTGTGAACTCAGCTTGTCTCCAACCTCAAGAAGGAGGACTTCTCCCACCATTGGCAGCACATTCATGACCAGACTGGCATGTTTTGTTTCAGAGAGATAAAGGCTGAAGAGATGGAGTGGCTGACCAAGGAGTTCTCCATCTACATGACAAAGGTCAGCCACATCTCTGTCAGGGGTCACCTCAGACAACTGAGCTACCTAGCTCATTTACCAGGATGCCAAGTGATTTCCCTGGTGAAAGGAACAGAGACAACCTTCTTGTCTTCAGCTTCTGCTACTGTGAGATTCAATTATTATAAATGTGTTTCTCAGAGAAGAACATATAGTGAAATGGGGCAGAGGCATCCATCCGTGGCTGATGTCTGAAATTTTCTGGCTCTAAACCGAATTCCTTCCCATCCTTTTATCTTCACCTTTTCCAAAAGGATTTACAAGTGCAAGAAAATTACAGCCCCTCATGAACCTGTCAACCACACCATTGCACTATTACAGGAGCTTTAACTGAGGCACCTTATGGTGTTTGGGGATCCAGCATGATAAATAGCCCATATTCAAGGTTTTGTGAGAAGACCTAGTTCTAACAATAACAGTTCACCTCTTACCATTTTCTCATGAGCAATTTTATCAATGGACAATAATATAGAAATTATATTTTATGAAAACCAGAAAATCTGCAGACACTGCAGCAAGGAAAACACAAGATGCTGTTTCCTGTCTTATTTGAAAAAAAAAAAAAAAAAAAAAAAGGAAGAAGGCTCTTCTTTTTAATAATCACCAGTACTTTAATGTTCCTCTCTGCTTCCTAGCACTGCTGTTCTTTTCATTAGGCACAAAGATTTATAACTAGCCTAGATTTTCATCCTCTTCTACTATTTCATAGACCATCAACCCCATTCTCTTATGTGAAGAAGAAAGAAACATAACTTACTGCTCATCCCATACCCTCACCTTTTTTGCAAAGAATAGCGTAGAGTAGGCAACTGCATTTTATTTTAGCACCCTCTCCTGTGATTAGCTGTTTCCTGTTGGGTTTTTGCCCCTGCCCAGTTGGACCTTGTACTTCGATTCAGTGTGGTTGTGTTGTCACTCATGAGTCGAGCAAAGCCGGACAGTGGCAGGAAAGAAGTTATTCTGGGCTTTGGTTTTAACTGTGTGTGCTGCCAGCTGGGCTCAGGCCTCACCCTTTGGAAAGATAGCCATCTGCTCTAATCATGTAGCCTGTCTGCAGCCAGGTTTCTCAGTTACAATAAAGTTACTGTAGGAGCCCCCTCCCTTTAAAAGAAAAGAAAAAAGAAAGAGAGAAAACTATCAATCTATAAAGAAGATCTGGATAACGAAGGAAAGGGGATTACATAGTAAATGTGTTTTATTTTGTTTTTCATTTCAAAAGGAGGTTAGGATAATAAGTCTCTATTCCAGAAGACTCTATGGGACAGGAGCTGCATTTCCTTAATAATCTGAGACTGCTTTGAAATCAAAAGCAATTTCCCTTTAAAATAATACTAGTTTTGTGGCTTCCTGTGCCCCAGCTTTCATATTTATTTCAATTTGTGCAGCAGTGGTGGTAGCCCCTACTGCTGTAACTATAGCTAAAATCAGGCAAGACATCGTTCAACCTGGAGGTAGAGCCAGGTAGAGATAAGAAACAGACTATGTGGTCAAGAATATGTTAGTTTCCAGGGATCCAGTTCCATGTGAATCCCTGCTGTCTCTATTCTAGGAAGGAAGAAAGGAAGGGAGGAAGAGAGAGAGAGGGAGGGAGGAAGAAAAGAAGAGAGGGAGGGATAGCAATTGGACAAGCAAAGTCTTATGGTTAATTGGAAATGTGAATCATTCTGATTTCAGATCTTTCCCATCCCTGAGCTTAGATGAATTTTATTTTATTTTATTTTATTTTATTTTATTTTATTTTATTTATTTTATTTTATTTTTATTTTATTTTTAATCCTCACCTGTATATTTTCCATTGATTTTTAGAGAGTGGGAAAGAGAGGGAAAGACAGAGAGAAATATTGATGTGAGAGAAACATATCCATTGGTTGCTTCCTGTATGAGCCCTGATCAGGGCCCAGGCCAGGTAGGAGCCTGTAACCAAGGTACATGCCCTTGACTGGACTCGAACCTGGACCCTTCAGTTTGCAGGCCAACACTCTATCTACTGAGCCAAACTGGTTAGGGCCAAATTTTATTTTTATGTATTTTTTCCCACATTTGTGTATCTGTGAACACCATTCATTATAGATATGTGGAAATAAATAACTGGATTTGTAAATTGTGCATGCAGAATGGAAAGTAGCCTCATAAGATATGCTCTCTTTTACTAGCCAGCTTGCCCTAGGTAGTGTGTATAAATCTAACTTTCTTTAGTTTTTCTTTATAGCAGTCATATTCAAAGAGTTGGTCTCTGAACCAGCAGCAGCAGCATTACCTGGGAACTTGTTAGAATTATGAATTCCTAGCCCAGACCTACTGAATCAGAAACTCTAGTGATGCGGCCTAGAAATCCATATTTAACAGACCCTCTGGGTGATTACAGTGCTTGCTAAAGTTTGAAATCTGCTGCTCCATAGACAGCAAAAACTAATATTGTTTTGAGGGCAACTAAGTAAGATCTGACTTTATGTGCCATAATTTTTTATGGCTGATAATAGATAATTAAGGAAGTTAATAAAAATGATCCTTTGTCTGTTTCTTAAGTTATATAATGTTTTAGGATTATTTTCTTTCTTTGGGAGTAGGAAGGAAGAAAAGATATGAAGAATACAAGTTGGCAGGTTCATTTATCTTAAAATACTCCTGTGTCTTTTATTGATTGGTTGATTGATTATTTTGAGAGAGAGAGAGAGAGAGAGAGAGAGAGAGAGAGAGAGAGAGAGAGAAAGAGAGAGAGAGATATATCAGTTGCCTCCTACATGTCCTCCAACCAGGGATCGAACCCACAACCTGGGTATGTGCCCTGACTGGGAATCAAATCTGCCGCCTTCTGGTATAAGAGACAATGCTGCAACCAACTGGCCAGGGCACTTCTGTGTCTTTAAAAGTAGCACCAGCTCTTCTGTGTTTGTCCTTCTATCTTTTTCCAGTTCAATTTGTTGCTCTTTTTATTAGAAGGCAGAACAATGATTGATATCCTAACACTGGATTCAAATAGACCTGGATTTGACTCACATTTACTAAGTTGGTCTCATTGCATCTCAGTTTCTTAAGAAAATGAGGATGACATCTATCATATAATTAGTGTAAGGATTAAAAACATATGATAGCCAATGCCTAAGACATGATAGACACTACCTATGGTTATTGATGTTGTTATATTGTATTAGAGGCCTGATGCACGAAGATTCATGCAAGAATGGGCCTTCCTTCCCCTGGCTGCCAGCACTGCCTTTGCTCTAGCCAGTGACGCCTCTTCGCCCTGGCCAGGAGCTGCCTTTCCACCTTCCCATACTGCCCAGAGGCCTGGAGTAGCTGGTGTGGTTGCTTAGCACCTGTGTATGCAAATTAACCCAACATCTTTGTTGGATAATTTGCATACTCCCTCCTGATTGGCTGGTGGGTGTTGCAAAGATACGGTCAATTTACATCTTACTCTTTTATTAGTGTAGACTATTTTAACTACTTCCATATACTTTTCTACCCCAATAATAACAAAAGTAAATTATAGCATATGTGCTATTGGACATGTATACAGGGCTAGAGATCTTGTGGCAAGGAACACTATACTTTGACTCCAGCCTCCTGTGATGGCAGAAATTATGTGAAGAGGAGATCTCAAAGATTTTTTTTTTTCTTTGCAGCTGGAGAGGACTTATTTAGATCCTTTTTCCCTAGCAGCTGGTGATTTTATAGTTGTTGATGGATGATACTATGAAGGAGCATGGAAAGCTTCATTGTTTTACCAAAGTATTATCCACTAGATAATACAGAAGTCTTAGAATAAAAGGAACAATTGTTTAAACCTCTTGAGTTACACTTGTTATGGTGGTGGATTTTTTTTTTCTTTTTAACTGATGAGTTCAAACCTAAGAGTAGCATTGAGATCTATGGAACCATAGAGTGTGTTTTGAGAAAAATGTTACTTAGCCACCTACCTTTGGGAGTAAGGATTTAGATTCATTCATACAGTTTCATGGGCAGAAACTGAATATAATTATTCATGTATTTATGTTTGCATATCTTATATGCCATGTTTTGTAAATTTAGAACAGGTTTAAGACCACTGTTCTTCTTTTAAAAAACTATTTATTGTAAATAAGCAAAAAGTAATAATGAGAATGTTCTTGACTCTTCAAAGTATTAAGGGAGAGATCAGAAGGCTTAAAAACAATCAATAAAGTTATTAAATGATAATATATAAGAATTTAAAAATATTTTATATAGTAAAATATATATTCATGTTTGAAAATTAACACCTGTAAATTGGACATGTAAAATTTCCAATTAATCTAGCCTTAATTCTCTAGGTCTTCTCAGCAGAGAAAAAAAAATGATCTTAGGCCCTAACTGGTTTGGCTCAGTGGATAGAGCATCAGCCTGAGGATTGAAAGGTCCCAGGTTCAATTTTTGGTCAAGGGATGTACCTTGTTTGTGGCACATCTCCAGTAAGAGGTGTGCAGGAGGCAGCTGATTGATGTTTCTAGCTCTCTATCCCTCTCCCTTCCTCTCTGCAAAAATCAATAAAATATATTTTTAATAATCATAGATTATAAATACTACTATTAAGAGTTATTACTTATCAAATGCATGTTGTGTGCCAAGTCTTATGCCTTCATGCTATAAATGTTATTAAGTCTAATATTCACAACAACTGGATGATGCAATATCATCATTTTCTTTAACAGATGAGAAAGTGAGGCTGGGAAATGTTATTTGGTTTCTCAAAAATTGAGAAGGGATGGAGCTATAGTTTAAATTTGCCTGTCAGACATTGAAGCCCATTCTCTTTTTGCTGTTGTGCTGTTAAAGATTTGTATCTAATCAGGTTTGATATTATGCCAAGAACAGAGAAAAAAGAAGGGATAAAGTAGAGTAGGGGCAAGGGAGATGGGGACAGACTCAAGGGATTGATTATCATGATGGACTATATAGGATCTAAACTGAGCAAGGAGGAAAGTTAGGACACAAGAGAGCAAAGACTATTCCCACCACCAAAGGTCTGCTGATTCATATTTTATAAAGCCCTTTTTCATATATTGTTTCACTAGATCCTTACTACAACATTGGAAGTATTTTTATTTCAATTCTGCAAATAATGGAAACTGAGATACAGATACAGATAAGAGGTTAATGTACTTGCTTAAAGTCACAGTGATAGAGCAATTACTCAGAATCCTTATTATTGTACCCTACCTCCATACCCAATAGGTTACTAAGAAAGAAAAAAAAACACTATTATTAAAAAGACTCTTTTTATAGGGATAGGCCATCTACCCAAGTCATTTACATTTAATATGGAACCAGAAATTATCATTGATTCTCTTTCTTCTCTTCCATTCAGTAACTAGTGAAATGGCTTAAAGGGAGGAAAGAAGAAAGAGTCAAAGCAATAAGTTTGGATAATCTGCAAAATAAAAAAAAATTAGGAGTGACTATTTTTTGGGGGGTATGTATCATCATTGATGCTTATATTTTGTCTTTATAAGAAGAGGGATTTCTGTACCTACAATTCTACTTTCATATCTAGCCCTAAATAATTTTCACTGTGGATGAAAAACAGCAGCAATGCCAGTCATTTCATTTTGTCACATCAAATCTAGAGGAATGGGTAATCCTATCATGAAAGGGGACACAATGTTGTATCCCTAAAGTAAACAAAATCTAATGCCTGCTTACTTGGTGCTTTTAGTGTGAGGCTGTTCTCAATCCATTGCAAAGTCTTAACCTTCTCATTTCAATGCTCCTGTGTTAGCATGATATAGTTTTGCCAGTAGTCCCTTGGCAATGAGTAACTACAGATAATATAGAAGGTGAACAGAATGTTGTTATACTGCATTTACTACCTTGTGTTTCCTAGAAGGGCAAGCCAGTAAAATATGTTCATGGCTGAAAATTATTAGTGTTTTGATTGTAAAACTTCCAATTAATCTAGCCTTATTTTCTGTCTAGACAGTAAGACATGTTCTCTTTTAATGACAAGAGTTGCCTGAGATTACTCTTTTTATTGGATGATCAGGAAACCAGAAGACTTCAGAACTAAAGGCATTATAAAGCAATTTTGCACTCACGAAAGAACTCCCAATGGGTTTCCTTTTAAGAGTTCCCCTAGAATATTTAAATATTTTTATAGGCCTCTATTTCACGGAGAGGTAAAAGGACAATAATACCTGAAAACGAAAATGTTGGTGTCAGAGCTGACATCTCTGAAAGTAAAATATACACCAATTAGAAAGTAAGGTCAGTTATCCAAATATATTCGTACATTCAACTTTTTATGAATTGCAGAATGTAGAACACATGTAGATTTAGGTCAAAACTGGGGCATCATAAAGCTGCAAAAATGAGTTCCTTTAACAGGTTTAAGCTGCTGGTTTTATAAATTTGGGAAACAACAAGTTAAATTTGACATATTTTACTATAAAGTGCTCCTTAGATATTTCACTTTGGGAGTTTTTATGATAGGACTTTTGGGTTCATTCTATGGATATTTGGGAGCCTGGAATCTGAGCTCTGGGTCAGTAAAGCCTAGTCTCTCTACCTAACTGCTAGTATAATGGGGTGTGGGGGAAGCTTTATGGAAAGAGAAAAGCTTAGGTTGCAGATAGATACTTAACTTCTGGTTCACAGCACCAGCTCTCACACCTCTAACGTGTTTCTTTTGTGTCTTGCAAATTTTGTAAGAACTGAAAATGTAGTTCAGTTTTTCCTAAAACAATAGCATTCAGTAGAAGATAGCTGTAATTTAAATCCTCAGTCCCTCTCATAAGGAAAAATTTTAATGACTAGACACATGAGGTTAAAATACACACACACACACACACACACACACACACACACACACACACACGATAATTATTCTACTAGACAGAGAAATTCACAGCCATTTCAAACAGTGAGAAAATCCAGGTCTGTTTATCTTGGCACTCAAAGCCTTAATACAGTACTATAATTGGAATTACAGTTGTATTATATCTTAGCAATATCAATATTTTAATGGAATAAAACAGTACATGTATGGTTTTATGTACCTGTTAACTCATTATAAGATTTTTCAGTTATATAGAATCTAATATCTTTTTAACTTTTCTCTCTGGCTTCTTAGATATAAAGAAAAAAGAATGATAGTTTCAAAAACTATAATATATTTAGCTTTAAGAAAGCTCACATGTTAGAAATAGAAAAAAGATTACATGTGTTCCACTATTAAATATTTCATATATAATATAAATAATTATGTATTTCCTAAGAGTAAATACTGATCAAGTGTCCTTTGCCTTTTATTTTTGCATCTGTAAAGGCACCACTAGCAGGCATGTAATTCAGCTGGCTAGGTCAGCTCTCAGAGTTCTTGAAGGGCAGTGGTTTCATTGTTTCCCAGACAAGGCACTGGTAGGCATTAAAATTAAAGAGAGTGTGAGATCCTAGTATTTCCATATGCTGAATAGAGGCTAAAGATTGTACTCCCCCTGCTACCCTGTCCTGGAATGCCAGAGCTTGTGCACATGGGAAGCACCCCCTCTCCTCCAGGTGCCGGGTGCCTGCGAGTAGTCCACCCTGCACCTACACAGTGTCTTCTAGGTAAGCCAGGCCGTAGCCACCGGGACCGCAGGGGCCGGTCAGGCTCCCTGTGGGTTTGCGCAGAAGCCAGTCTGCAAGGCCGGCCAGGAGAGAGCACGCTGCTCACCCAGCTTCCGTGTGGTACCGCTGGATGGCCAAGAGGCCCACACTGTGCCCTGGCCCACAGCGTCTGGCCACGCTTACCACATATCCACATGGGGACTTGGGCGCCATGACTCAAGTGGATGGGGGCGAACAGGGCTCAGGTGCTGCACAAGGTTTCTTTTGAAAATGCTCTGAATTAGATGGTGGTAATTATTGCACACTTTTTTTTTTAATATATTGAAAACCACTAAATTGTGTGATTTAGAATGGTTTAAATGATGAATTTTGTTATGAGAATATAATTTCAATAAGAAAAATTAATAACTAAAAAACAAACTAACTAAATACCATGGCTGCTTATATAGGGATTTTATATATTTACTGGAGGCCTGATGCATGAAAATTCGTGCAAGAGTAGGCCTTCCTTCCCCCAGCTACTGGCACTGGCTTCTCTCTGGCACCCAGGACCCAGGCTGCTTCCCACCAGCCCTGGCTTTATCAGGAAGGACTTCTGGAAGACATCCTGTCTAATTAGCATATTACCCTTTTATTATTATAGATTTTCAAGTTCCAGTTTTTCAAGCTGACTGTTTAAAAAGCAATAGCTCTGGATAGATGGGTATTGAAGAAAACCAATTCTTTCAGTATCTGTGGCTGTGTCTGTGACTGTTGTTTCATCATTACACTGATGATCACAGATTTGTTAATGACTGCATTCAGATAGAGTTGCCAAAGAAGTATAAGTTTTTAATACATCATTATTGATCTTTCATATGAGCATACTCAATAATGCAGACTATGTTTTATAAGGCTCACCAAGAAACAAGCAGTTTTTCAATATAAAAAGAACCATGTGAATGAATTAATTCAACAACAAAAGACATGAAAGAAAACATGCCCTAGCAACTGGCTTCTTGTATTACAATCAGGGACTCATTTATCTTAAACAAGTCAACTTTTGTAACACCCTCTGCACTGTATAGAATATGGAGTGACAGTCAGACAGAGCTGTCAAGAAAAAAAGGAAGAAGTGGGAAATGTGAACTAGAATTAATTAAAAAAAAAAAAAAAAAACTTTGTAAGAGAATGCAAAATAGCCTTTGACAAAGAATTTTCCTTTAAAATAACCAGAAGCTATGTGAGCACATTGAACAAGTGAATGTCAACGGTTGAAAAGTACTTGATAATCTCCCACAGCATTTCTAATAGAATTTACCTGGTCCCCACCTCATTATAAAAACGATCTAAATCCTAAAAGGCCTTGAACAAAACCATCACAAAATGTTCCTTCATTCTCAAATATAATGTTTCTTGACAGATAACTTGCTTACAAAATGTGTTCTATTAGTTTTTGCCCTCACTCAGTTTCCAGGTTCTTGCTCCATAGTTGTTAATAGTTTTAACAGCATATTAGAAGTTCTACATTGTTAATTCCACTTCTACTGTTTCTTTTTTAAATTAAATAGGTATTAAGAAATTGACATTGATCTGATCCCTTTTTTCCCCTCAATGAGATTTTATCATAAGAAGTTATTTTAGGTGTTTGTGGGAAGGAAAAAATCCTTCAGATGACATCACTGTTCTTAGATGGAGCCTCTAATATTTTAGGATTCTCATGGAAGTTCTGCTCCCTATTCTGATTTGCATTGCAGCCTTAGAAAAGTTTAAATATAAAAAGACAAGTGCAAAGTGAAATTATGAAAACACATAACTGAGATCAAATGAAGAGCAGAGATGGAGTGGTTGAATGGCTATTAGCAACTATCGTAGTCACTCAACACAGTTATAGGGCAACAATTTTGTCTGAAATTTCATTGCCTAGCTTTATACTGAGATAGTTTCTTATATAGTATTATAGGAAATTCAAAGTTGTCTGTTAGTGTAGGTAGCTGGATAATAATAAAGAATGGGGCCCTACCTTGTTTGGCTCAGTGGATAGAGTATCTGCCTATGGACTGAAAAGTCCTGGGTTGGATTCTGGTCAAGGGAACATGCCCACGTTGCAGGCTAGATCCCCAGTAGGGGGCATGCAGGAGACAGCCGATCAATGACTCTCTGTCATCATTGATGTTTTATCTCTCTCTCCCTCTCCCTTCCTCAATAAAAAATAAAAAAGAATGGGGCAAATGGAATTAGACATTAAGAAGCCTAATCGAAGAAGAAGAAGAAGAAGAAGAAGAAGAAGAAGAAGAAGAAGGAGGAGGAGGAGGAGGAGGAGGAGGAGGAGGAGGAGGAGGAGGAGCATTCAATTCCCCTATTGCATCCTCTACCCTTGAGATCTAATCCCCAAAATGGACAGGAAGGATCATTAGCATTCATTAACCAGGATTATGGAGGAAGAAATAAAACCAATAAAAGGGAAATTCCTCTGCTGGGCACAGGCCCAGCAGATGGCATAGGGGAGGTTCTTCTACTATGAGGCATGTGCAGTAGAAGCTAAGATGGCAATCATACCAAGGAGAGTATAGCCTGGGAAAAGGATAAGATTGGATAAGGATATAGACTCTGGAAGATCTATGAAATGGATTGGTTAGGGGGAGGGCCCAGAACAAGCCTTCAAGGTATTGGGAAAGAAGTTGGTCAGTTTGAAAACTCATGATAATATAATCTAAACCTAATAAGGGCCTAAAGTCCCATAATGTGCACTCTTGCACTGACATTCTCTCTATACCAGCCATGTAGGCCTAGCAGCTGAGGGGGGCCCAAACATGGCTCCCATACATGGGCTCTAAGTGTGAGCCTAGGTACTGGGGATGGCAGCACAGCCCTGGCTCGAGTGCAACCGGGAACAGAGGCTAGGCTGGCCAGTTGGAGACAGGGACTGTACTAGACTGAACCAATGGCACAAAATTTCTGGACTCTGGCCTTTCTTCTGGGCTTGATGAAAAAAACCTGGGACAGCCCTTTGTGTTTGCCCCAGTTTCAATAAATCTTACCACCATACCTCATCCTCTGAAATGCTTTTCTCCAGACACTATAAGGACCCCATTTCTACCAGCAACATATCTATGAACAAGAACTGCAGCAAGAATATAAAGGTATTTGTCTGTATCTTTGCAGCTGAAAAATTGTGGCTTTTAGAGAAAAGAAGCTAATTTAATATTTTAAGGCAAGTTAGTCTTAGAATCAGAGAGTCTTACTTTATTGCCATTGTATACAAGCAAATCTGAAACCAATTTATGCATATACTCATTGGATTTAACAAAATAAAGATATGTTCTGGATAGACTTTTAAAACCAGGCAGTAAGAAGCAAATTTGAAACAATTCTATGCAATGAAGTAAAAGAAAAAAAATATCCTAACTTGTTAATAGTATGATCATGTCTAAATGTAATCTTCAAAAGCCTCCTGGGCATTGCAATTTTCAGTTCAATGCTATTTGCATTTTTATGGCAGAAATATTTATTACAGTCCTCAGAAGAAAAAGTGCTTGATGACACTGAAAAGAGGAAACTAGTAGAATTAATCTTGTGACAATATAAGACATTCAAAACCCATCTATAATAATAAAAGCATACTGGATGTCCTTTTGCATGAAGCCACCATGGTGGGGGCTGAGTCAGAGGCAGTTAGAGGTA